CTGACCTACAAAATACACATTCAATTTGATGATGCTATTATAGAACATGGCATGGCTTGGCAGCTTTAAGAGCTCCGGGACAAAGCTGAGGAGCCCAGGGAAAGAGCCACATTTACTAAGGTTATATAAGCTCTGGGGAAGTCTTTACAGATTTCTTGCAAAGACTGGTTTTAGCTGTAAACAAAGCCTGATGCCAGACAGGTGTTGTTAGAGATGTTGACATCCGAGAATGCTAATATACAACATGAAAGAGTTATTAGACCATTAGAGTCGTGGGAACGCCAATGTGGATAAGGGACACTGTGAGGCAGTAGACTGTAAGAGGCAGCTGGGAACCTGGCCTGAGCACAGGCCTCGAACCCCAGACCCTAATGGAAGGTGTTCAGCGTTGCTCCTGGCTCCTTTCACTCAGCTTCAGCCCTCCACTGCCCCTCCAACAGAGAGGTCTATGGCCATTGGTCACGTAGGAATAGTGCCTCAGGCTCTCCCACATGTAGATGAGGTATCTCCAAGCTCTCAGACCAAGCCAATAGGGGCTATCTGCTGCCAGACCCTGACCCACTCCAAAACTGTATATAAGAGCCCTATTCAGGAGAAGTAAAGGTGTGCAAAAATCATCCTGTCCAAGAGTTTCTGTCGCAAGAGCTGTAACACTTGGGAAGAGATCTGCTCTCCAGAAGCGCCTTAAGGACCCTCCCCTCCTTGTTAGCTAGCCAGCTTCTTACTGGCCCAGGGCCAGCTCAGCGCAGAGACAGGTATAGCACCTGGGAGTAGGTGGGTAGCCACAGCGGAGACTCAGGCGGAGGCAGCAGCAGAGGTGGTGGAGGCAATTCCTCCTCCCTGCTTGTACTCTGTCCCCTTGCCTGGACCCCCACACACACACCAGGCCGGGCCAGAGATCCTTGTGGGACACCCTCCAGAACAGGGACCCACAGGACACAACTAATAATGGCTCTCACAAGCATCATGCTAATACCATATAGTATAAGCTATAGCTAGAGGTCTCAGATATAAAAAATGCCCAGTGCTTTAATTGTGGTGAATTCAGCCATTTACAAAGAAATTGTAAAAGAGCCTTAGATTTCAAAATGTCCAGTGTGGTAACTGTGAGAAATATGATACTTTCTGAGTACGCTAACCAATGCCTAATGTGTTAACCTTGGGAAATACAGTACTTTCTGCTGCTTCTAGTGGCAATAGGTTCTCCAAAAGAATATTAGGCTTCCCAGAGTTTGGGGGTGTTGTGGCAATGGCTGTCATTTTGTCAGGTACAAAAGGGACACAGGGACACACAAGGTAATCTCTTCACATCAGGAAATAAAAAGGGGTGCAAGGAAGGAGGTGTGGGGGCTGGGTGGGGCAGGCTGCCAAGTCAAGGCCCCACAGTGTTTCCCTCTGGCCATCCAGGAGCATAACAAGCAAACAAAGAGGGGGAGGGGAGGGTGGGCCAACAACAAAAACCCCAAAACCCAGCAACTAAGTATTTCTGATCTAATACTGGCGCTCTAAATTTGTCCTATTCCTAAAAACTCAATGTTACAAAAAACAAAAACAAAAACACTAGTGTATATGGTACTTTGCCTTCAGGGACAGTAGGGAAGAAGTGGATTAACTTCCCAAGGATTCAATGTGCACTCAGGTATTATAGATGGGAATTTCAAAGAATTTAAATTATAGCTTATGTACAAAAAAAAAAAAGGAGGGAAGGCAGGCAAATTAACGCAGGGGATAGGATTGCTCAAGTGCTGCTTCCCTACACTAAGGGCAAAGCTGCTCCAGTAGAAAGAACAGGGGGATTTGGGAGTACTAAAGAAATGTGTGTTTTGGCAAACAGTGAGTGGTTAATGATCATAGACCAAAATTAAAATTTCAAGTAATAGTGTTGAAATAGAAGGTTTGGTGGATACAGGAGCTGACATGACTATCATTTCCCTAAAATCATGGAACTCAGAATGACCACTTCAGAATGTTCATACACAGTTTATAGAAATTGGTAGGTTATCTCAAATAAAACAAAGTGTACAATGGGTTAAATGTATAGGACCAGAAGAGACAAACTGGGAAGATGAGAGCTTATGTGGCTGACATACCCAGAAATTTATGGGGAAGGGATCTTTTAAAACAATGTGATACTTAAATTACATTCCTGCAATACCAGAGACTGCTCATGATGAAATTCGAAGTTGTGGGGGGGGAAATAGTAGTTTTAATCCCAGGTGTGGGGTATGGGACTGCTTCAGATTGTCCACAGCAGCTAACTGTGATGCTCTGGCAGGGGCATGATTCTGCCAGCTGAAGACATTTATGTTTGAAATTTGAGGGCCTGTTGAGAGACGATATATATAAATGCCAGCACCCGGAGAGGGGGTGGTGGCTGCTGCTCCACATGCTGCTAATGGCTCCTGCTGTCGCGCTTGTGTTGCTGGCTGAAGACATCCTGACAACAAAGACTGGACTTTCCTCTAGGAATTTGACTTTCCTCTAGGAATCTGATGTCCCTAATCAGAAGGAAGTAGTCTAAAGAGATCAATGCCCCTTGTCAGGAGCCATAATGGGACAAGCTAATAATTAGCAGGTGATCATCCTGAAATGGCTTGCCTTGGCTTATATTATATAATCTGAGACAAGTGAGCCCTTATTCAGCAAGGCTGTAGGGACTTATTTTAGGAAAGATTCCTGCTATTAATATGCTTTTCCTATTACTATTATTAAACATACGTAACAGTCACTAAGCAATAGCACATCCCTTTGGAGCATATCTCTGCAGACCCACAAAGATATACTGTCTTGAGGTGATGCTATATAGACAAATAGATGACTTCTTAAGTCTTTTTTTTGGTTTTTCGAGACAGGGTTTCTCTGTATAGTCCTGGCTGTCCTGGAACTCACTCTGTAGACCAGGCTGGCCTTGAACTCAGAAATCCGCCTGCCTCTGCCTCCCAATTGCTGGGATCAAAGGCGTGTGCCACCACCGCCCAGCGACTTCTTAAGTCTTAGTGATGATCCTATAAGAATCCCTAAAATTATATCAATGATTATTTAGCTCTTTTATAGTGGGACTGCTATCAGATCCCTTTCTGATAGTCAAAACTGCAATGAGAACTCTGCCAGTCTCCCAAGTGTCATCAGTTAATTGCCCTTAGATAGTAACCAGGCTTTTTCCTGCTCAGAGCATATTCCAAGGTGGTTGTAAAACAATTAACCAAAGGTCACTAATAGGGAACTCACAATTTATTATAGGTGCTAGGACAGAAGACAAAATATTGCCTGGATTTTTCTATACAAAACTTCACTAATTTCTCATAGTTTTAAACCATCAATGAACCTGTGGAGCTAGACAGGTGATGGATGTTTAGCCAGATAATTACTCCTAATGGATATGCATGTAAACATTCTCTGCTGTAAACTTCTATTTCAATTTATGATTTGATTCTTGGTGTGAACTTGGGATGAACTTTGTAACATGTGAGTATGTACTCTGAAAGAGGTATAAGTACTGAAGACAAATAGAGAGTCATTTGTCCCTTCCCTTCCTTTTCCCCTACCTAGAATTTTTTCCCTTAGAATTTTTCTTTTATTAGAATTTTTTCCTTTTCCCCTCAGATAGCTTTTATAGGAAACTTTTAACACTTAGTAATATACTCTATAATAACTTCTTTAAGTGTCTTTTTCTTCCTGAAACCTCAGACTAGCAGGCATAAGTTAGAGCCCAGAAGTTCCTGCTGAGATAGAACAAAGGCCACATTGCTTAATCCTCTGCTGTTAGGCTACAAGTGTTAATCACCTAAGACTGTAGTCTTTTACCCTCAGAAGAAATTTTTAGGACTTTCTAAAAGTTATCATCAGCATTTCAGTACAGGTCAGAGAACCAGAAAGCTCTGAGACCCTCAGACTTTTAAGCCATCACCAGAGTCCTACTCTGTGCCCCTGCCACTACCCTCTCAGAGCCAGGAAGCCCAGCACCCCCTGTCCCCTCTAACTTTCTTTCTCACTGACCTAATGTTGGAGATTGAAAGGTATCAGGGTGGAAAAGAGTGGCAGGAAAAAGAACCCAATAAAGTAGCCAAAAAGTCTACCTAAACATGCACATGAACACACACACACACCAAACAAAAATATCCAAGCCAGCCATAAATACCCTCTCTGTTCTTAGGGGAACTTCTTTCTAGGTCAAATTCTATGCAAACTCTTCAAGGCAGGTTAGATTAGGGACTAAAAGATTCTTACCACTTCATTGTGTTATCTATTCTCTCTCTGTCCCAGGAAAATTCTGTAAAATCTCCTCCCTGTGCCTGACACATGCTAGGGTGTTTTTCCAACTAGTAGCCTTCCTGGATTCACTGTAGCAATGGAGTGGTTGGAGTTTCCTGATCAAGCCACTGTGAGGGACTTCTGCTCTTAAAATTTCAGGAGAGATTTATACCATTGCCACTAATTTAGGAAGCTCTAAACTTAGAGCTCAAAGTTCCCCTAGAAATTCACATTCAAACTGAGAAGTAAGTATCCTACCAACAACTATAAATTAGCTCAAACTTAGTTTTTTGCAAATTTAATTTTACTTGCCTAAAAGCACATTGGAGCAACATAATTTGTATATGCACACAAACTCACTGTGTATATTTGCTGCTTATGAGCATGTGCTAGTTATAACTATAAACTTATCACAATATAGTCTACAAACAACTTGGTTTCTCTCCTCAACCATTTTAATGCAGGAATTTTAGGTTTAGTATGATTTACAGGATCTGGCTGGCATTTAAGGTGAGATAAGCCATCTTAGCAGTCGTCTCCCACAGCACCCTGTGGTCCTTGGCATAGTGCCTAGAATTTACTAACGCTCAAGAAACATGTTAATGAGCAAATGACCAACTTTTTAAAGAATAGAGTAAGTGATTCAGTGGTCAGATCTAACAGATCATGGATTAACAGGTCATAGTGTTGAAGGATTCATGCCACAACCAGGAAAGCAGCATGAGCTATGCTATACACAGCAAGTCAAATGACACTGCAGTAGGTGTGGGTTTTATTAATCGTGAGGTCAATCAAGTTATAAAGTTAGTAAGAAGTTTTTTAAAAAAATTTTAGTCTTAAGTGCTTTCAAAAAACAAATCCAAATCCCTTCTGCTGCACATTTCCTCGGAAGCACAGGAACAGCTAGAAAGGGCACACTAGGAGTGGGACTCAAGTTCCAGCCAGGTCATGTGTCATGAAGCAGAACAACTCTTTCACATGTAACGAGTGAATGACAACCTCTGCTAACAGGACTGGGAAACTGCCAAGGCCAGAAAAAATGCGTTACGACAGAGCCTGCAGATGTAACATCAGAAGACAGGAGATAAGCTATGACACTCGGTAGCTTTGCATGGCCGCTGTCCTGAAGCTTAGCTCCCCTACAGTGTGACACTCTTCAGAGTACAGAGCTTCTCGAGCTGATGTGAAGTGCGCGTAAAGTAATGTGCACAAAGGCTGTATAAAATGTAACGCACTATGCTGGTTGTGACTAAGCTGGTTGTGTCATATCTAAGATACACACAAAGTTATAGTCCAATTCAGCAAGCATTCATCTAGACTCCCTGTGCAAGGCACTGTGCTAAGCGGCAGGAAATAGGAAATTCTGCTACTACAAACTAACGGATAGAGGTCCCAGAAAAGAACTGTGGGTACACATAACAAACCAGAGGACCACTGCGACTTAGAGTCTATGCTTATAAAGCAGGTAAGAGAGGAACACTGACAGCATGGATTCTATCACATCCTTACTATTCATAGCAGCTCAGTAGGGATCTTCTTCAGTGTGGTCAGAAAAGTTGTAGAAATCTGGCAACATGGGTGAGAAGAAGAGAGGAAGAGCTCCACTCCTCCTGCGTCTCTCCCACAGCACACAGATCCATCTTTACCTAAGGGGTATCAGACGCCCTTTTCTGCTTACTGAACCATACTCCACAGGAAAAGCCTTGTCACTGAAAAGGGCTAAACTCCTACAGCAGGAGAAAAACTACACTGGATATACATTTAATAGCAGGTAATTCAAAATCCTTAAAATACCTTATCAATACACACTGCAGCAGATAATCAAAGAGGGCAATTTCAAGCCTTGGTACCAATGCATGAACTGCAACTTTTCAAGCCATCTTAGCAGGAGCTGTGAGCAGACACAGTTCTCAACTCTCAAGCTGTGTTTTGAAATGCGAAGCAGCCTAGAGCAAGTTCTCTCTCACTTGGTGTTCTGCATGTACGGCTGGGAGGCTTCTGCTTCTTTTCTGGGTTCCCCTGCCTGCCAGACACAGCTGACAGAATGGACGCCAAAGCTCGGAGGACTCACTGTCAAAGTGAAAACTCCCCAGAGAAGTCACTGCAGTAAAGCCATGTCAATCTACTGAAGATTTCAGATCTTCAGAGATGTCACGGAAAGTCCTAAAAAAAAAGGGGGGGGGGGAGAGAATGGTTGGTTTTGCTTTGAAAAGGAGTGGGGTTAGTAAAACTATGAGGAGGGAGGGGCAAGCCCAGAACCAGTTACCATACAACATTGTATTCTTCATAATCTTTAAGAGGGTAGAAAAGATTAGTGTCATTATTTTTAGTATTTTCACAAGACTGTTTCAAAATCTCTTACTCTTATTCTCTTAATCTCTTATTCCCTCATTCTGTATAAACAAGACCCCAGTTTGGGGCTGAGTTCATTCTCTCTCATCTGAGACTTCCCCTTGAAGCACAAATGGTTCTGTGACTGGATTTTGGCTAATGAGATGTTACAGAGAAGTGTTGTACAACTTAGGGGCTGTTTCTTGGCTCTTAGAATGTCTAACTGGCTGGAAAATAGAATCATGTTAAAGAGAGTAAGCCTTGCTGATCAGATGAATTGCTGATGGAGTCTTGTTAGGAGGGACCCTGGTGCTACACAGAACCCCACGCTCTAAAGGGCAGAGTGCCAGACAGATTTGAGAAGGTGTTTTCATCACTTGACTTGTCCCACATCAGATAAGCTAAGTAAACACCACCAAGTGCCAGCTGGGATTTAGACTGGATAAAAAGGTCTGATGCACTTACAAGGTATCTACCTCAGGACCATGGTGGCTAAATAGCCTTTGACAGAGTTGACAGGCCTGTCATAGTGTCACCTGGTAAACTTAAGATGCTCACAGCCAGCCAAGGGGCCAGGGTCAGAGGTTACTAATGAACATGTGCTCTAGTATAAAGCCACAAATCAAGGTTGTCATGGCATTCTGATTCAAAGAGGCTAGGCTTGGGCACTGGCTTAACACTCGAGACCTGGAATGCTCCTCTGGACTGCTTTTTAAACAAGTAAAAAAATAAACTATCTTCTTCTGGTTGTTTGAGGCTCAGCCGATATGTAGGGTTTTTATTATTAGCATTACTATTATTATTTAATCAAACATATTTGAAGTGAAATATATATGGATAGTTTATTAGGACCCACTTAGGGAGAAAGTATACAACTTCTTAACAGAATCATCTAGTAGGAATACAAAAGAAAAATAAAAAATTATTGAGATTTATTTAATGTGTCTGAGAGCTTTGCCTACATGAATGTACATGCCCCATGTGTATGTTGGATGCCTAGAAGAGAGTATCCTATCCCCTAGAACTAGGTTTACAGACGGTTGTAGGCAACCATATGGACCTAAACCAGCATCCTCTATAAGAGCAACAACTAGTTAACTACTACTACGCCATCTCTCCAAGTCCTCAAGAGCAAATTTCAATTTATAGTCTGTGACCATATAAATACAGCATGTTATATCACTGTTCCTTCTTACATCATTTTCTTCCAAGTTGAATAAAATTAATTTTGCTTTTATAGCACAGTCTGCCATCAGTTACCATAAAGTGCACAACATTTAGAAACAGCTAAAGGACAACAAGGGTTAGTGTGGTAAAGTTCAGGGAGCAGTGTAAACAAATGTTCATAACACAAGGCTTTTCCTTAACAGCTTATAAGGCAACTCCAACTTCAAAAGCAATTCCAAATCCTGCCACCTCCTCCTCCACTCTGTCTGTCTTGAGCATTTTCAGTCCATACAAACACACAGGATTAGAAAAAGCAGAAATAAATGGAAGCCTAACCTTACAATACAATATACAAAGTCCTTCAAGGTCAAGAGGAACACGGCCAAATGTTACAGAAGAGATATGGCACTCACATATGCTCACTTGTCTGGAGGCTCTCTCAGAGACTTAGACCAAAGTCTCCCTCCCAGCCCTCAGAACAAGAGGACTAGTAAGGCTCTACTTTCAAAAGCAGATATGGAGAAACAAGGCTTTGAAAGGGTTTTTGTATTACCTGACTAAATACCCCATGAATATAAAAACACATGCTGACAGACCTGAACAATGAAACCCAGGTTTCCTTAAATACTTGTGTTATCGTTTGAAAAAAATTAAATAAATAAAACAATGAAGACGTATGTCCATCTATGTGTCTATTATTTCTCAACAGTGACACTGTCCCCATTTCTGAGCACTGTACTTGGCAGAGCCCCAGCCTCAAGCTCCTGTAGTTGTAACAGTGCATCTAGCCATGGCCAAATGAGTGCATGAACGCATGGGAGCTGGGGGCAGGAGACTTACTCTGCACCTGTCAGAACTAACACTGCAAGGATCTATTTATGTAACTAGTTCTCAATGCTGTCTGAGCATGTGTTTTCACATTTGAAGACAGGCAAAGTTGGCTAGAAGCATTAGTTAAAACAGGTCAAGGCAACTTAGTATCTCTAAACTACATAACCTAAGCATTCTGGAAAATATTATAGGATTAGAACAGTAATGAACACCAGCAAAGCCAGGCCTGGTACATGCCTTTTACTTCCAGAACTCTGGAGGTTGAGACAAGTGAACCTCAGTGAGTTCCAGGTGAGTCAGGACTACAGAGAGAGACCGTGTCTCAAAAATACAAAAACAAAAACTTAAACAGTGCTTAAAATTGCTCACTAAAGGAGTAGTGGGTAAAAAACCCATTTCCTTTAGGCCCAGAATGCCACAGCTGGGGTTCGGTTGGTGGATCCAACAGGCAACCACTCAGACTTAACCACCTCTGAAAAGCAGGAACTCCAAGCCATTATTAGAAGGAGCATAAAACAACCTAATTCACTCAGCAAAATACCCAAAAGGTTCAGAAGCAGGTCACACTATGGGCTACCTATGAGAGCAGAGGGTGGGACTGAGCAGTGACCTGCTGCTCATCTGCTAAGAAAGCACCACCGCACGCTCCACCATCCCCACCAACTTCCACCAAACCAAGCAGCTGATCCTTCCTTCCCAATCCTTTGCAGAAATTAATTACTTTTCTCTGGAGAAGGGAAAGAGTTTTGGACTAGGAACAACAGGCAGAGATGTAAGTGCGGCTGTGTACTAGCACAGGGTACTACACCTACAGCAGATCTCTGCATCTTCAACTCATCACCCCTTCCCTGCTCCTGGCTGCAGCTGGGCTTGCAACCTCCAGCTAAGAGATCTGAAGATCGTCCTGTGATGAATTATCAGCACACAAAAGAGACCAAAAATCACAGCCATCAAGGGCTGCACAAGGTGGTGGACTTGTCAGACTATATTAAAGCCACACGTATAATAACCCACCTACAACTTCAATGTCTTATTTTTAACATGAGCTGAAAAACATAAACCTTCACTGATATCATTGGTGCTGGGAAAAGTCAAAGCCTTGGTTTTCAGAATAAGCTTGGCAAAACTGTCCACATGCATGAATGACTGACGGAAACAATGCTGGGTATCTAGCAGCCCTCACATCTTCTTTCCCAGTACCCCCGACCTGATAATGCAACTTCCTACTCTTGTCTTCTCTTGTCTCTATACATTGGTTTCCCTGGCTTCATCTTACAGTGAATTTTGGTTCATATATTAAAAATCAATACAACCCTCCCCCACATAACAACAAAACATTAAGAAACTCTGTCATTCTCTCTAGTAGCCTGAAAGAACTATCCTTTCACTGTGCAAGTACCCAAACACTTGCTATGAAGAGGAAAAGCAAATGGATATGGAAGCAGTACACACTGTACTCAGGAAGCTAAAGAGTGGACTGTGAATCCAGCTGGCCTGGGCTCCACAGGAAGAATGCCTCAAGAAAGGAAAGAAGGGAGAGGAGGGAAAGATCTAGTCCTTGTGATAACAGCCCCAGTTGGTGAAGGCTCTGTCAGTCACCTACATCCCTCTGCTCTATTCTTCCTCAGAAAACTGACTTTTCTTAGCCATCACTAAATGAGTATGTGGAGACATACAGCTCTGGTTCTCAAATTTGGAGGCAGAGGAAGGTGGATCTCCAAATTCCAAGCTAGCCAGGGCTACACAATGACACAGTGAGATCCTGCCTCAATAAAAATATAAAAAACAAAATATTAAAAAAATATTAAAAAACCAAGATATTACATCTATGGGTTTCTGAGCAACAGACTCTAACTCAGAAGCTACTTCGATCAATTCAAAAGACATATTTAAGACAAAAAGAGCAACACCACACTTTAAAATTTTACCTAGAAGGATAAAAGTGTGGAAGGGGAAACTGAGTTTGAGATATAATACATGAGATAGATAGATAGATAGACAGATAGACAGATAGATAGATAGATAGATAGATAGATAGATAGATAGATAGATAGATGACAGAGAGACCGAAGTATAGAAGTGTAATTGGACTGTCAGACCAACTTCTTGGTGACTCAAAGTACGCAAGAATATATGACACAGAACTCAGTGCTTTCCCACAGATGACAAGCTGGGCAACATAATAAAGTCTCTAGAAAGTTAGACCTATTTATTCTGAAACTGTTGCTGTTTATTTTGTTTCTAGGATGTATGCAGGTCTGTATGATTTACACAGAAAACCCATTTTGTAAGGTTTTTCTTGTTTGAGTCTGGGACAGTCTATGTTGCCCAAGCTGTTGATTCTCCTGCCTTTGGCTCAAGTGTTAGGGTTATAGGCATGAGTCAACACACTTACATTATTTTTTAAGTTTTTAACATTAAATTTAACACACAGAAAACAATCCACTTCTAGGTATTCAAGCAAATATAATTCACAACCTCCATAATGTGCACACCAGATAACCGAATCTTGTCTTTTAATAGCCATAAAATAGCAACTACCTGATACCTTTTAGCACTATACTAAAAAATGAGGCTGGTACACTGAGACAATGAAAAAAATTAATAAAAAAACAATAAGGTCAGGCAAACACACTGACTGAGCAAGGCCTGCCTCAGGAGAGCAGTACATTTTAGACCATGTTTAAAGTTATTCTGAAATGACTGCAGTCAGGGCATCAACAGGCAGAATAACCTATGGAGAGGGTGTACTGGAAACCTTGAGAACTAGTGGAAACAATCTGCATGGATAATGAGTGCTTGAGACATTCAACCTGGTAAGTCCCAGATGTAGCTTCATTGAAAACAGAGATAGTGCAGTCTGTGTCTACACGTGGTCACCATCATGCTGCTGAACTCACCGCTGAGTCTGAGCAGGCCACGGGGTCTGATTTGGTGTGGGCATTGAGTTCGTAGGACTCACTAGCATGGCACTGTAGATATTGGAAGCAACGACAAGTATGCAGAGAAGTATAGGCCCAATGATCGCTCCTTCCAGGCCCAGGTAGTAGGCTCCGCCAGCCACTGCTAAGCCAGTCAGGTAGGGGTGGCCTCCTCTGGAACGTAAAGCACACCAGTGCATGTGATTCCCAATGAATATCAGCTTTGGAGAAATCCCAACTACACAATGATGGTTCTCTGATATTTAAGGCTTTACTCCATTACTAGCTTTCTTTAGATTACATCAATGTAGAATCAAGAACGTATAATATTATTGAGAAACAAAGATTTTCTCGAATATGTACCAACAAGAAGCCTCTTCCTCTTTTTACAGGACTAGCAACTGAAAGAATAAAAGTATGCTGCTATCAGGTAGTCTGTATCAGGAAGCCATCTCACATGGCTTCCTGAAGATTTACTGATGGCTGAAGACTGGTTGCCTAAGATACCTGCTAGGTTTACTTCCTTTAAGGATAATAGTGAGTACAATTTAGCAGGTATGGTTTCTTTAATAACAATTACAGTTTTATAAAATAGTAATAGCAATATTCCTTTTGTTCACAGTTTTGACCTTTGGCAGTCTTCTAAACTATAACTACCACAGGTGTAATAACAGGCTGTATATGGAAGACATCTGTCAACAAAGCACAGACTTTTATTTTATAGGATTCATGACTGCCGCACAGCCTATGACGGCAATGCTGACACAACCTGGATGGAGTGAGTCACATAGAGCAACACAGTATAGATAAGTCCTCACCGCTGACGCAAGAGGAACAAAGATCTGTTTGTTTCTAGTTTTTAAATAACACAGATGAGTGGAACATTTTCATAAAGGTAAATAATTAAATACACAAAAAGGATTTTAGAATATATAGCAGTTTACAAACATACAGGGGTGAATCAGCCTTCAGAAATAAAAACATGATGTTCACAATTTAGTTCTCTTCTTCCAAAAAGATTTATAGCAGTGAAGTATTCCCTAAATGATGTGTTTGGAGAAAATTGTTACCAGAAATTCTTAATGCTTAAAGTGGTGAACGGAGGACTTATAAATAAAAGCTTAATTAAAAATATATTTATACCAAACTTTTCATGTCTAATAACACTGATCAAATAAAGTATTTATTATGAGAACAATCACATATAAGTCTTAAATTATAACTATAATCCTTAATATAAAAAATTTACAGTGAAGTTTAAATACACAGAGCACTTAAGTGTAAATCATATACTGTTTACACCTCAGTTGATCACAGTACCAGGTCTGTGGTTGGCTGTTCTGAGGCAGGGTATCCCTGTTGCCCTAACTGGCCTGCAGCTTGTATGTAAAGCAAATAGCTTTGAACTAGGTTAGTCCCCTGCCTATCCCTGCCCAAGTGCTGGGATTACAGTGTAAGCCAGGCTTTGAGTTTGGAGGGGTTTGTTTTTTTTTTGGTGGGGGGTTATTTTTTAAGTTTTCTTCTTATTTTTGCGTATGTGCATATATGTTTGTATGTCTCCATGCCAAAGAGGGTCTTGGATTCCCTGGAACTACAGTTATAGACACTTGTAAGCTATCCAATGTAGGTGCTGGGAACCAAACTCAGGTTCTTTGAAAGAACAGTACACAATCTTAACCACAGAGATGGTTCTCCAGTTCCATGCTCTGTGTCTGATGTCAAGACAGGATGCTGCTATGGAGTTCAAGTGGGCCTCCAACTGGCAGTTCTTTTTTTTTTTTAAGATTTATTTATTTATATAAGTTCACTAGAGCTGACACCCCAGAACAGAGTATCAGATCCTATTACTGATGGTTGTGAGCCACCATGTAGTTGCTGGGAATTGAACTCAGGACCTCTGGAAGAACAGTCGGTGTTCTTAACCACTGAGTCATCTCTCCAGCCCTTGTCTCTGATTAATGCACAAAGGAATCACAGACCACAGGTGATACTTTGGGAATTTTACTTTTCCCTCTCCAGCTGAAGGCATATAAATTACTTTATAGGATGGGCTGGAAATTGCCTGGTTTCACTGTACGCTGGTTCAATGGGGCTTCTGTGCTGTTACATTATTTTATAACTTTAACTTGAGAGGAAAAAAATCACCATATAACTTAATTTTAGAAAACTTAAAATAGCTAAAGACTGTTTATAGAAGCAGAGGCCATGTCCATTAGGCCTTTAGTTTGGGTTTTTTTGTTTTGTTTTTGAAGCAGAATGTCAAGTCACTATGCAGCCCAAGCTGGCCAAGAACTGCCTATGTAGCCCAGGCTGGCTTTGAACTCAAGAGAACATCCACCAGCTTCTGCTTCCCTAGAGCTCAAAGGTGTGCTCCACCATACCTGGCAGGTCTTTAAAAAAAATCCTCTTCCTCATGTCCTAACCTAAGTCATATGCCCTCACCTCGCTGTACCTTTTAGTTAATGATAGCACACTGAATGAGGCCAGTTAGAGCCCCACCTGGAATGACAGCACTTAGGAAGCTGAGACAGTAAGATTATGAATTGGGAGGTCTTATCTGAGCTACACAGTGACAAATACAATCATCATCATAATAAACAATAATGATCATAATAATGAAAATAATAAATTGAGAACCTGATGCAATCTCTACACAGGTATCAAAACCTAGGAAAAACAGATCTTTATTAGATCATGTAAGTTTGACTAGTTAAAATTTAAATTGTGTTCATCATGAGCCATACATACTATCTGAAGAGTGCAGACATTAACACTTGCTAAGATTCACCTTACACTGGAATCTCTAGACACACAATTGTATGACCATGTTCTCCAAATGCAAAGCAGCACTGAAATAGTCACTAACTCCTTATTGTACTTAAAATATTTTAGGTATACCTAGTAATACTTCTTTCCTAGGCTAAATGTCACAAAACTCAGAACAGAATTATGCATAATTTTGGTCTTAAATTTTGGATTTTATGCTTACATGATTATGATCATAACTTTACCACAACAATGTAATTCTACATCTGAATTTCACTGTGAAAGGATCACAAAAGGCTACCCAACTGAAACATTTTTTCCCACTACTCCTTCCCTAAACCAAACACCCTAAGACTGAGCAAGAACTCGAGACCACTTACCCTGATATATCAGAATAGATTGCAGTGTCTACGAAGTATGTTGGCAAGAGATGAAAGACCAGGAGCAAAATGGCCTTACATCCTAACCCTTGTGTCAGCCACAGGTCTAGAACTGCAGGTACTGCTGCCCAGTATGTCCCCAGAAATGGCACAGCTCCAAGGATTGCTGCCAAAGCTAAAAGAGTTAAAAGAAAAGCAATCAAAGTCCCTGGCAACAGTAACAAAGCAGCAGAGCCCAAGTACTACCCTCCCTCTTTAAGTCACCCACCCACTGCAGCTGGAGAGAAGGCTCTGGTGGGAGGGCAGAAGTTTGAATCCTGGCACCCACATGCTACTCACAATCATGTGTAATTCCAGATCCCGGGATCTGACATACTCTTCAAGTCTCTGCAGATACTGCTTACATGTGGTGCTAATACATATATACATGCACCCAACACCCACACACATAAAATAAAAACAATCTTCTTAAAAGTCCACTCAAATAAGTAAGCCAGTGCAGGCTTCAATTTTAGAGGACTGGTAGAGCCTGTTTCAGCTTTCTACTTAAATAACAGCTCACTATCTTAAAAGTTGTTACTAAAACTTCTCTACTTTGGCTAGCTTATGAGTTTATGTTCTGTTTTTTCTTTTAAATATTTATTTATTTAGTGTGTTGTTGCTGTATATGTGTGAGGGTATCAGATCCCCTGAAACTGGAGCTAGACAGTTGTGAGCTGCAATTTGAGTGTTGGGAATTGAACCCAGGTTCTCTAAAAGAGCAGCCAGTGCTCTTAAATGCTGAGCCATCTCTCCAGTCCCTGGTTTATGTTATTTTTTACATGTTAAATTCTATTGCCCTATGGCTAAAATCTAGTTCCATAAATATAACTGTAGAACATTCACCAAAATGTCCTGACCGACAAGTCAATCTACATCTTGGGTTGAATTTTTTTTTATTGGATATTTTATTTATTTACATTTTAAAAGTTATCCCCTTTCCTGGTTTCCCCTCTGGAAACCCCCTATATCCCATCCTCCCTCCCACTGCTTCTACGAGGGTGCTCACCCACCCACCCACTCCCACCTCCCCTTGGGTTGAATTCTTATTCTTTACTTTGCCACTAAAAAATTAAACATACTAGACATAAAAAAAAAAAGTCCTGCAAGTAGAAAGACTTCAAGTTCACTGGTTCCAAAGCAGTCCAGGCTCTCTCCTCTTTCGCTCCCTTCAGACTAAGAGCCACACAGATGTGGATTCTTGTTCTGGTCCAACCATTAACCATTTGGGTGACCTTGAAAAGCTGGCTTTTGTCTATACATGCCTTTCCTGCCTGCCTTAACATGATTATACAACAGCTTTGTGTGGTCTCAGGGTACAAGACAGTCAGAAGGTGGGCTATATACAGGGAATAAGACAATCAGAGCGTGGGCTACTTACTACAGCTGAGTGAGAAAAAGCAAGCCTGAATGTGGGAACACATGGAAGGAGGAAGAATGGAAGCTGATGAGTGACAGCAGAGAGTGTCGAAGGAGGGGGATATTTAGAGAAACAATGACAAAAATAAAAAAGTGGATGGAGGTTCTGAACCATCAAGGAAAAATGGCAAGCTTGTCATCAGCCTGTGTGCAGCTTGCAGAAGGATGGTGTTCCATCTCAGAACAGATGACAATAGTCTTAAACCTGCTCAGACACACTCATCCTGCCCCTGGGGTGGCAGCCCTCATAGGACAAAACTATCAGACGACAAACTGCTCACTCCCTGCCTATTAATTTGTTGAATACCAACTGTGTGGCTAATGTTATACGAAATATTAGAACATTTACTCATTCAACAAACACTTGCAAATGACTCTCATGTGATAGGTGTGGTTCTAGATACTGAGGCTACAGCAAAACACAAGCACATTGCTGATCTAGAGACCTTATTCTGAGGTAGCTCTATTGTAAGGTCTAACTTTCCTCAACTAGACAGCCATGAAGTTCTGTATACAGTTGTTACCTGACGGTATGAAGACAATATTGATGCCAAATATAGTGTGAGTCAGCCAGGTGTACAATCCATAGAAGCCAGCCATTTTGAGGGAAGCATCGAATACCCCTCTAGAAAACCCAGAGAGAAAAGAAAAGGTAAATAATCCCAGTATCATAATACGGTTCAGAAAAATCATCACCTTTGGTTTTCTAGTCACTTTATTCCAAATCTGGCAACAGGTCTCATTTCTCTGGAAAATGCTACTTACTGTATTAAAATACTAAAGCCCATATACTAATCTGCAAATTCACTTCTCTCTGACGAGACAATCACTCGAAACTTCCTAAAACAGCATATCACTGAACTTACCAATTTTCTGCTCTTTGAGTGGGGGCTGGGGTCAGTGGGAATCATATTCAGGGCCTTATGTATTATGCAAGCACTTAACTAAGCTAGGCCCCAACTTTCCACTTCTAAAATAGCTATTCCTTGGGTATGAATCATATTCTCTGTGTCTAAAGAAAGAATTAATTCTAAAAAACCTAGCCTGCATCCAGTCCACATTTAAAAAGAACAAGTGAGGTAGGGAGTATAGCTCAATGGTAGAGCAAGGTTTAGTAGCACACTCCAAGTCCTGGGTTCAAGCCCTAGCACAGAAGGACTAAGAGGGGAAAGGGGGAAAGAAAGCAGGAAAGGAAACAGAAGGGAAAGGCCAGAGAAGAATGAAGAATAATCTAACTCATACTCTGTCAAATTTTCTTTTTAACAAGATTTTCATACATTTCTTTATGCAACCAAGATTACAAAGTCACTTTTGGTATCAAATAATACAAGTCATCTGGGGAGATGCATGGTTATTAACTGCAGAGTAAATCCAAGCAGGAAAATACAAGGAGTAAAAACGGGCTATATCTTGCTATGGCATTTCTCTGTTGAAAGAGATCAAGGCAGCCCTGTGTGGAAAAGTCCCCAAGTAACCCCAGGAACCACAGAGGCCAGGGCTATGTAGGGGCAGACAGTCACAAGAAGGTGAAGCTGTCACTACAAAAGAGGACAGTGACAGCAAAGTGACATGGCACACAGAAGCACACACAGGCTTTCTGCAAACATTCCCAGGAGGGAAGCTCCCAGAGCACAAGTTAGATCTGTAGTCAAGTGACTCTGTCATGCAATAGTACTCTGACAAATGGTGTTAATGAATACCTCCCCGTCTGCAAAACCTTTGCCACCTTTACCAATGGTGTCACTCAAGAATGTGTCATGGGACTCTCACAACATGGACCCAGATTTAAATATATCAAAAAGACAGAAAGAAGAGATATCCCATAGGAAACAAAAGAACGGAAAAGTCTAAGAAGAACAAATGATAGGGAAACATGGATAAGCGGAGAATAAAGAAAGGGAGAATATCTGGCCTGGCAAATCTAAGTAAAGAATGCTGGAAACATCAGGGAAGAGGCTGAGACTAAGGCAAGGCTTAGCAGGCTTAAGGAGCGGCAGTCTAACTAGAGGAAGGGACAGGGCACCCTGAAAGGACAAGCATGGAAAGGAAGGGGAAGCTGACGGTTCTCGGAGACCTGAGGACTACACCACATCAGCCAAAGAGGGTATGGAATCCCTTCTACATTAGGAGAAAATCACCAGAGTGCAGCCTCCTCAGAAACCACTGGGCATGGAAGCTGAGGAGGAAGGATAACCACATTAACTACTAGGGTGAGGAGCAGCTCAGGGAATTTGTCTAGTGTGAAAAGGTGGCTTGCATTAGCCTCATCTTATTTACAAGTTTTTCATAGTAAAGGTAAATTGACACTAAGGTTATAATAAATTAACTCAAGTGAGGCTCCCTGCAGATGACCAGCCCAAAACAGACCACTTATGGGATGAGTACAGCCTTTCTTTCCACTCTGAACTGGAGTTGTCCGTAAGAGTTACTACAACAACTTTTAGCTAAATGGTGGACCCTGAGTATCTATCTCCACTACACATTGTTCATGGTTACCAAGTATATTCATGCAACCCACTGAGGGAAGACGACGATCTACTGCCTGGACTGCATTGCTCATGACCTAGCATATGAGCATCAGCAAAATGCAGAGCAGCACCTTCTAAAAATGTACTAGAAGAGAGGATGTTTTAATGCCCTCACATCTCCTCATCATCATCCAGAAAGATCCCAGCCCTGCTCATATCATTATATTAGGACTTCTGATCTCTCAAGCTAGAAAAAGTGTCTTTTAAAGTACTGAGTTCATGATACTTTGGCATACTACCAACAGGAAGCTAATACAACTCTATTATTTAAATTGTAAAGTATGGGTTATATGAACAAGATCCTGTAATGGTGAACTTACATTCACTCATCTCCCAGATTCAGAAACTGAGAGCTGGGCATATGGCTCAGGGATAGAACACTCACCTAGCACATGAGGCCCTGGGTTCAATCACAGTCATAGTGCATGTATAATTAAACCACTACAGTACCCGCCAATGACCAGACCACAGTCCAGAAAGCAAAATGCACAGACCTGAACTCCACATGGACACTTACTGTATGATAAAGCACGTTTCATAAAACACAAGGGAAGAGAACTTGTGAAGAGCATGTGAAGGCAACAAACACACACACAATGCATTGCCTAACCATACCTATATAGCATCTGTGCTCTGTGATGTCACAGTACCAACAGGCATTTCCTTCTAAACTGCTCACCATGAGCAAACAACCCCTGTAAAGGTGGAAACAAAGTCTGCATTATGGTCACTACCCTAATAGTCATGTGCTACCCAGTTTCCTTTCAAATGTGACAACTTTCACTTGAGGGAAGAGCTATTATTTTTGCTCAACTTTCTGGGACTATTTTATCCCTCGTGTCATTTTTCAGACAGTATGGAAATTAGTTTGTTGTGTCTCTAGGATTTTCTAACACTCAGCAATTGATAAATTCCGAATATACTGGAAGCTCTTCTCCCCTCTCCTGACAGTTCATCTACCGAAGGAAAAAGTAACTTGCAATAGCCACTGAGGTGCCCTTTCTAACAAGACCACTTCTCTCCCTCAGACTTTCAATCACTACAGACTTAACAGATAACCCCCACCCACCCACCCACCCACCCACCCACACACACACACACACAAGACACTACAGCCCAGGCTCCTCTATCTACCTTGCTCCTCAAAAACAGGATATAGTGTTCCAATTCAGCCATGTTCCATGTATACACACATCGCTGTAGAATAAAAGTTGTGCACAGTGAGCCTTTCCTCAGCACCTTTCCCCTAGTGACCTAGAATCTCTGTAGTGAGTGCCACTAAAGGAGTGTGCTTCAAGCCTCACTCACACAACCATGTATCCTCTGTAAACCCTCTCCCACTCCTGATCAGTGGGGACTCATCATTTTTCTAAACTGAAGAAGAAACAAACAAGGCAGCCTCAATCCCTCAACTTGCTTTGGATGAAGTGAAAGCAGAAGCAAGTTGTAAAATGAGAAGAACAAGCCACACCTCAGAAAGGCTGTGCACTTAGAGGACACAGCACCACAAGCCAGACAAGTCTCAGGAGGAAAAGAAATAAAAAATGAGTCAAGTCCAAAACCAAACCCCACCAACCTCACATTTCTGTACATTACTTCCACCCTTCCTCTCTAAAGATCAAACCAGGATGAGCACCAGACTATCCTTAGCCCAGGAGACAATGGCTACCATCAACAGTGAAGGAACATGAGCAGCAACAGTGTGTAGCACTCTGACTAGGGATGGTGCCAGCTCCTTGATCACAGGTGTATCACTGTTCCTTCAAATTCATATACTGTGCAGAAATTCTAGTTCAACAAATTGAAGGTTTGAGTCAATCTTGAATGTAACAATCTATCAGACTCCATTTTCCAACAACTCAGATGATCACTAATGTATTTCTAGCAAAATATATACAATTATATTTAAGAGGTAATGCTATTGCACACTTAATAAGCTACAGGATAAACTTACACTTTAGAGGCAAGAGGGAAAAAAAAGACATCCTATGTCTTGCTTTATTGTAGTATCTATTCTAGGACAACAGTCTGGAAGCAAATGCCTAGTTTCTTCTAGTATCACTTGTACACCTAACCTCTCTTCCATCACATCTCCTTTACCCCTCTCCTGGTTCACCTGCCTCAGCTGCACAGTCAATGCACAGAAATCCGGCAACAACAGGCTTCTAGTGTAAGAGACAAGGTCACGGCTGTGCACTCACACCCAATGCTGCTAAGCAGTACAGAGAAGCAGAGCTTATACAGGGAATAGCTGATACTCAGACAGAAGCATCCAACTCTGGAGAGCACCTGAGTGATACCTTCTTCCACTCTGGCAGGAGTGACATACATTCATTCAGCACTTTTATATCACTAATACTTATTAATATACATTCTGTGTCCTTAACAATGCTTAGTGATCATAAATGATAAATGCTTAGAAAAGGGTTTCAAGTATAGATAATAGTAAACATCTTTACCAAAAACTTTTAAGTTTAATAAAACAAATGTAGCAAGTATCACAATGAAAAACTACATATAAGACAAAGTTTAAGGCTATTTTCCTTAAAACATAATAAAATAAAGATTCAAGTATATTACACTAATCTTTAATCACTCAGTTAAAAGGCATTATTTCCTCCAGTTAATTTCCCAAAGTATGCATAAGATATTCTATCTCTTTATTACAATGGTAGGACATCTCAAACAAATAAAAATAATATCCTACATTCTTGGGGGTTAAATTAACCTTAAACTCTCTATGTAGTTCAAACTGGCCTAGAACTTATAGCAATCTTCCTGCCTCAGCCTCCCAAGTGCTAGGATTATCGACATATGCTACTACATCCAGCTCAAGAACACTTTAAAAAAACAAAAAAAACAAAAACAAACTTTATGCTGGGTGGTGGTGGCACATGGCTTTAGCCTCAGCAATTGGGAAGCAGAGACAGGTGAGTCTCTGTGAGTTCAAGGTCAGCCTGGTGTAGGCATGTTTTTGTGTAATATGTAAAGATTATCCTTGTATCTTAGGGTTTCCAATGCTATGAAGAGACATCATGACCAATGCAACACTTATAAAGGAAAATATTTAATTGGTGCTGGCTTATAGGTTCAGAGGTTCAGTCCATTATCATCGTGGTGGGAAGCATGGTAGTGTCCAAGCAGTCAAAGCATTGGAGTTATTCTACATCTTATTCCAAAGGCAAACAAGAGAAGACTCTCTCCCATGTGGCTAGGAGGAGGATCTCAAAGCCCACCCCCACAGTGATGTACTTCCTCCAACAAGACCACACCTACTCCAACAAGACCACACCTCCTAACAGAGGCACTCACTGGGCCAAGCATATTCAAATCACACCTTGTGTTATTAAAATGCTGTCTCTCTGCCCTCGTCTTGTTTCAATACAGAGACAGCAATGAAATGCTTGGGTCAGTAATCTACTGTTTCACGTTTGTGTAAACAATTCTTACTATTTTCTTCCTTGTAAATAAATGCTGATCACCTAATGGCTGGGAATAAAACAATATGGAGGGATTTCTGCTAGCCTTGAGACACACACACACATACACACTCAGACACGATAGGGGGTATATTCGGAGAAGGAAGAAAGTTCTTGAGAGTTCAACAGAAACATGGAAAGCATAATTTCAAGTATTGTGATTCTTAGCTGGAGGTAGCCAGATATTGAGGTGAAGCTTAAAAATAAATTTTGGTGTCTCTGTGTTATTATTTGGAACTAGCTAGGATAAAGAGATTTAGCTGCTGTATTAATTTACTATTTAAATTTATATTAAAAATAGCATTTACAGCCTTCTCTACAGAGGGAGTTCAAGGACAAGACCAGCCAGGGCTACACAGAGAAACCATGTTTCCATAGATAGATAGATAGATAGATAGATAGATAGATAGATAGATAGATGATAGACAGATAGATAGATGATAGACAGATCTTTATATTCATTATTGTACATTTTACTTTAAACAAGTATTACTTACACCTTTAAATCTCTAAGAATTTTGTTTAGTCAACAATTCAAATTTGAAATTGAAAACATTAATTTACTTAAGCAAACCTAACTTTTTAAAAATAAGTACAGCACTTTTATTTTCTTCAGAATTGGGGTGAAGAAGTAGAACATGTCGATTCTCTGAACCAAATCTTACATAGCATACATTCTCACATGTAACTCAGCACCAGTTCTACCCTCCAGCATGGAAAAGCTGTAATCCCAGCAAGCAAGAGCCAAACCCGTGTGCATGCACTCATGTGAAAATATCACACACACTAAATTGCATTGAGGCCGTGACAACATGCAACTTAGTAATGTGCAATATCTCCACCAGAGCAAGCAGAATGGGAGCCTCAGGGAGAAGGGTGTGATGTGTGCATTCAGGAGGCAGCATGCTGCTAAGGAAGGACAATGGGTGGGGATCCAGGATGCATGCCACTAACTCAAAATCCTGAGATGAAATGAAAACTCAATGACACGTGTACTCCCATTTAGAACAACATGTACTTAGAATTAAAATAAGGTTCAAAATTTCAAGGCCACTGTGATCACAAAGGAAACCCACAGCTCAGAGGCAAATCTTCAGGGCACACACAGCAGGTTGGTTGGTGGGGAGATAGGGGTAGGGAGGGTTCAGAAGTTATCTTGTATAAAAGCACCTTGATGTCAGTCAGAGTTTCTCCCTCTAGAAAGCATAGTAGGGACATTCCAGAACTGTAATCACAGGTGAGGCTTGTATGAGAAAGGGGTTCTGGTGGAAAGCTGGAGCACTGCTGGCCTTTAAAGGATCTTCCCAGGCAATGCACCTGTCATCTCGTACAGCGAGGCCTCAGCCAGACTGACAGGAGGATGGCTGCCAGCCTCTCCAAGGCTACTTTTATGCTATTGGGAAGAGAGGGGTTTTATGTTTTGTTTTCTTTTCCTTTTCTTTCTAGAGGAACCATAATTACAAAACTTTTTAAAAAGCATGTAAAAGATAACTTATTGTTGCAACTTTCATCATTTTATTTATCCAGTAAGAATGCCAGAGGTTAAATAGACTTGGAAGGGATGTTAAAATAATTTCTCAACAACAATCACTTGGAAAGTTGCTGTGTTAGATAATACACACCTAACCTGGAATCTTTATATGATGGCTCCACACACGTAAGAAAAAATTTTCAAAATGCCAAATGATACCCAATTCAATCAAAGGGGGTAAGTATTAATAAAGACCTTCCTCAAGCTTCCTGAGGAGGAATGGGGAGAAGAGCTGATGGTATTTCACACTATATATACCTGCGACAATTGTTGGGTCAGTTCAAGGGATCAGTAGATGACTAGTTCCAAACAATGATACTTTTACAAGTATGTGAAAACAGAAATGCCAAAGATTCCACTATGTAACTGGGTTTAAGACCACTTAGCTAACCACTTCATGTCACTGAGCATTTTCTCAGAATACAGCAGTCTTCATAATTGTTTGCCTACTCCTAGAAAAGAGTGGTCTAATGGGTGCCACAACTATTTACTCTGAATAGTTACGTATCCACAAAAATAAGACTATAGCATCCTCTTACTATGCAATGAGACACGGGACAAGGAAGGCACTGAGGGGCCCACGTTGCAAACGGCAAACCCTTCCAGAAAGAGCAAAAAAGAGTCAAGAAACCTGAGGGATGTACAAGTGGAAGAATCTCAGTCAGAAATTAAGTTTGCAATACATGAACTCAAGAGGCATGCTTCTTGGAAAATTTTGACCAGATACAATGAACAGACTTGAAGATAACTATTGTATTTCCAATAACACTGTACTTCCAATATCTTATCCTGCAGAGGACGGCTTGAACATTAACAAGAGAGAAGAAACAGGAAGGTCATCTACCCCTAGCCCTGGAACCAGAGATCCAGGCTGGAGCTCCTGAAACCAGAGAAGGTCCCTGAGGAGATAAAGAAAATGTGGTGAAAGGGGGAGTTCTCCTGAGCAAATGCCAAGGTGATGGAAACCCAACTAAAAGCCAATCTCTAAACACATATCATGTCTTTGTAAATCACAGTGGCAGAGCAGAGTGGCAAACTCCTGGGAACTTTTCCTCAAAGCATGTGCTCTGCTTCTAGGACCTTCTTAAAGTAAGATAAAGGTCTTGAAAACACCGACATCCTTTACTAGGTTCAACACTGAGTGTTTCTATGAACTACAAGGAAGGTAACTGGGATGCCACAGGAAGCTAATAAGAACAGCATAGCCCTTGTCCCTACCTGATAGCCTCTTCCACAGACTGGCCAATAATGTTAGAAGAAGGGCCTGGCTGAGAGAGTGGTGTCAGGCTTATCACCCACTTCACTGGCTTGTAGTACTCATCACTGGAACTTAACAGATAAAACAGTGTGGTCAGGAAAATTATCTGTAAAACAAAGGACAGGATTTCCTAAAAATCACATTTATGAACCTATAGAAGATATACATGTACAAAAACAGAGCCCAGGAAATGCTGTAATATATAAAGAAATACAATGTGAGCTCTCTAAATGTACATACCAGAGAAAGTACGAAGTTGAGAAGGGCAGTGCCACTGTAGAAGAGGATGGTCAGCAGGGTGGTAACTGTGGTAAACAGCAGGCTCACATTCCGGCTCATAACAATCCACAGAGACTCCAGGATCTGATGGAGGGACAGCTGGGATCAACACTAATCCTCATAAAGAGGGCAGCTATAGCCACACAGTGTCCTTTTAGGGCACTATCTTAGTAGCCATAGTGGAAAAGGTAAAAACTGTTGCCTACTTTAAAAGCAGAAAAAACATCCAGAAACAAAAGGAAATGGCTAAGAAGTTCTAATGACTCCACTAAAAATAACATTTAAAATAGTACAGCAACTATCATAGACCTTTCATTCTATTACGTTGGCTTTATTTGGTTAGTTTGGTTTCTCAAAACAGAGTCTCTCTGTGTAGCAGCCCTGGTTATCCTGGAACTCCCTTTATAGACCAGGCTGGCCTCGAACTTACAGAGATCTACTTGCCTCTGCCTCCCATTAATTCCCTTTAATGCTGGGACTAAAGGTGTGCACAACCATGCCCAGCTTCTATTATGCTGTTTTTAAAACACAGAATTTTTATATATTCTGTGAATTTTAACTATAAAAACAGAATATATATATATGTATGTCTACCAAAGAATATGTGAGCACATACTCTGGGGATCTATTTATTTTGGAGGGCTATAAGTATAGGTCACTCATTAGATTAGCCAACTATCCTCTACCCTTACCATCTCTAACTCAGATTCAACTACAAATATAATGCATTATTCCAAAGTCTTGAAATCACAATAAAAATAATGAAGAGGCAAGGATCAATGACAGAGCTTTTCCCAGGACAGACTAAGACTACTCACTCAGTTGATCTATCACCTACAAACTCATGAGAAGCAGTTATTAAGATGGTTTTGCACACTGTAAAATATGAACAAAGGAAGATGTCGATGTCTTCTCATGTCTCAATTTTCATTTCTTCATCAACTAAAACTCCGTATAAAGTCTACTCTGTTCTTCCCAAGTGGGTGTCCTCCTAATGTAAACATGAAGCAAATCCTGTCCCAGCAACTGAATATTCCTATGAACAACGGAAGCAATGTGGACAGTTTTATAGAGCTCAGTCACAGAGGCTGCTGCAGCTAGGACCAGAACCCTGACATCTGCAGAGCTCAGTCACAGAGGCTGCTGCAGCTAGGACCAGAACCCTGACATCTGCAGTTCTCTTTGGTGCCTTTCTAAGACAGTAGCTCTGGTCCAGTCACATGCTCATGTTATGACATGCAGTCTATGCAAGGGCTGGCCATTCCTTTTCCACCTCAAGTGCACCATTTATAAGGGACATTCTATTGCCTTCAGAATGTCTTGCAAATCTCAGCTTAGTCTTTATAAGAGAATTCAACAGGCGGGCTTCATTTACAAAAACTCCTTACAAAAAAATCTTGAAAATGCTTCACTATGCCTACAAAAATATGCACGATTAACTGTTTGACCTTGTGGGATAAAGAATGAATGAACAAAGCCACTGATTCTAAGAGACAATGTCTGTATTTGTAATTTGGCAAGCATACTTTTGGGGCCTCAGACACTCTGGAATTTTTAATAAAAAATTTACATAGTTTCTGAGTCACAGAAATAGAAAACACCCTCCTGAAACCCTTAAGAAATTACCAGAATACAGTAATTGTAGACGGGAAGTCTCCAACAACAACCAAGTAACTCTTTTTACTTGAAAAGAGATCAACTAGAAACAACAGAGAGGATAGTTCTGAAATGTTAACTCAATCATCAGAGTAGAGTTTTAGTTTAATCACCAGGCTTAGAAAGAAGGGCATCAGTAAAGGCAGTATCAGTAAGAAAGCCCAGGAAACTCAAAAATGCAACAGATTTGTAGAGGTAAAAATGTATCCCAACTCAAAACTGGCAAGCATGAACCAGGGGCTGGCATTAATTTAATCAACAGTGGCAACATAACCAAAAAGATGCCTCGAACAGAGTCCCTGGCCATGAAATGTAAGCCCAGAGGAGACTCACAAGCAGTTAAGCAACTTGGTCACAGAAAGCAGTTAGAACGAACAAGCAGCCTCGGCATCCTCCTGCTTTTCTGCTTCCCTTCCCAGTCCACTACCATCCAGTCACCCATCGTCACTCACTTGGCTTCTCGGGTACTTCTGAGAGTCATTCTATAGAACCCGAGAAGCACAAAAACACAACACTGCAGGAATACAGGGGTCAAAATACAAATACACCTCTCTCCTACAAAGATGGAATTACCTCCCTGTCAGACTAGAAGCCTAGAAACGCTGGCTATAAGCTCCACAGGCCCTTTCTGGTTCATTTTCCTGATCTAGTCTTATAGGAAAGGAATTGCACAAAGAGGTCTCAGTATACCACTTCAGCTCTGCCACTGTTCTTTTAAGTACAAAAATAACAAAGAGAAGCTATAATGTGCCTCTTTGTATTAGTTTAGTTGACAATCTAACACCAGGCTATATTCTAAAGTAGTAATAAAGAATGTAAAGTCTAGTCAGGGAACGTGAAGAAATGGCACAGCAGTTAAGAGCATTGGCTGCTCTTACACAGGAGCCAGAGTCCATTCACAGCATCCACATTGTGTGGCTCATAAACATCTGTAACCACAGTTCCAAAGGATCTAATGCCCTCTTCTGGCCACTGCAGGCACTGCATACATGCATGCAGGGAAACAATCGTAAGAACAACAACAAAAAAAAATCTTTAAAACTATATTCGGTCAGAAAGACTGAACATCAATACTGAAAAAGGTAAAATATACTCAAGCAGCAAATGAGGGTGAGGAATCTGAGTGTAGGAAAAGCTCCATGCCTCCTGAACCACCCTGGGGAGAGCTGAGGAACCAGCCAAAAGATCAGCAAAAACCAAAGCTGGAGGACAGAGCAAAACTTTGCTCCTAGCACTCGCTCGGGAGGCGCCGTCTCCAGGAACGGGAAGTCAGCCAGGCCTACAAAGAAGACCATGCCTCACAAAGTCAGAACAAGAGGCAAAAAAAGCAAAGAAAAAAACAATGACAGAAAAATGTGAAACAAAGAGATCCAGAGCTCCCCTGAGGAGGAAACATGTTCTAGAAGATAATGCATGCTCTATAAGAACCCAGTTCCTCAAGCAAACAAACAAAAAAGAAAACTGAGTGTTAACTGCTTTTAATACATCGAGTCTGTTACTAAAACAAGAACAATTTTATTGGTTCTCTAAGGAACTTGAGGAGTGTTAAATTAGAAAATATTTACAAAACATCTAGCATGACATAAACTAGGCATTTGTGTGTGTGGACATACATGTGTGGGACACATATGCCCGTGTAGGCATGAGAACAGAGGCCAAGAGGTCGAGATCAGATGTCTTCCTCATTCACTCCCTACGTCAGTTTTTAAGACAAGGCTTCTTACTGCACCTGGAGTGCATCCATCAGATGGACTGGCTGTCCAACAGGGCCAGATGAGCTGCCTGTCTCTGCATCCCACCCTACATCTGCTCAGCACTGGGGTGTATGCCACCATCTCTGATTTTTTACATGTGTTGAGAGTCTGAATTCAGGTCCTCATGATTGTACAGCAAAGACTTTTTCAACTAAGCCAATTCCTCAGCCCCAGAAAACAGTATTTTTAACACATTAAAGTGTGTTCATGTTATGAAAATTTTTTTAGTGACTAGATAAACATGCACATTAAAATCCATGAGAACCACAGGGTTAATGAAAGCAGAGGGAAGGGATTATCAAAACAAATAGTTGGGTACACTGTCAAGTGCCTGTGATATAAAGTGCTTGGGAGACTAAGGCAGGAGGATTGCTTGAAGCCACGAGTTCACAGACAGCCTGGGAAACATAGTGAGCCCCTATTAATTAAGTAAGCTGTTAATTAGAACATAAAAAATGAAAAACATCACTTCAGATTTCATTTCAGATTGTGGCAGCACCTCAGCTGAGAGGAAAGGAAGCCCATGAGTGAGGGAGGTGGGTGAGGGAGAGAGAGGTGAGAAACCCAACAGAGTGTCAGAGACCACTGAGGACTTGGAAGAATGTCACAGCTTTACCTTCATCTTCCATATTTGGAAGCCAAAAGATAATATCTAAAATGGCAAAACAAGAAAGAGCATGATAAACATCACTTTGGCAATCCAGAGGCAGACACAGAGAAAGCTGTCCAGCAGCAGACAGCCAGTCCTGAGCCTCACACGGTGGCTTTCAACTATGCTCCTGAGCGGATTGCTCCGCTCAGCTTAAATTCCTTAAAACTCAGTACTGTGAGTCTCAACTCATGTTAACTTGATGAGAATCTCATGAGAATCTCATGTTTATTCACAAGAAAAATCTTCTCTGTGAAGTCACATGCCAAGACATCTGACAAAGTGGCTCTGAGGAATGAAGGTGGTGATTAAGGGTCAATAGTGGGTGGGGTAAGGATGCAGGGCAGATGGAGTGAGTGGGAAGCCAGCCTTTACACTTGTTCCTCTAATGTAACTCTACCCCTATTTCCACATAGCAAGGGCTTTACCAACCAGAAAGTCTGGTCTGTCAATACTGTCCAGCTTAGGGCACTCTGGTGACCCTGAGGGATAAGGACACCCATATCTAAGACCCTGAGCCCACAGGCTTGCTCATGTGCTTCAGGAATCAGTGTTTCTCAAGTGTTCTCACCCCACCTGGAAAACACCAGGGAAGCCAGACCTCAAGACCCAGCTTCTGGACAGCTTTCTGGTTTAATCAAAGCCTACACATTCCATGGTACTAAGAACAGGGTAGCTGAAGACACTGAGGTAGCAAAAGCTGGGATCCCTTCTGTTCTCGTATCCAAGTTTAGAGATCAACCAACAGTAACCACTACATCTTACCGAAAGAAAAGTCTCGATGTTCTCATGAACGAAGGAGGCAATATCTTGCCAGTCCAAAATATCTCCCAGCCAGCTGTTCTGACGATTCACATGCATCTTGTGCCCTTTGTGCCTTCCAGAGTGTGTCACGTTCTATGGAACAAGGCCAGTGACATGTGAGACTCTCATTTTAACAAGTTCAAAGGATAAATGCCTCTTTTGTTTTACACCTGCTTATAATAATTCAGTAAGTACTCAACTATGAAAATCCTTGCAAATTTAAGATATTAAGGAAGAGTTCCACCTAAAGATTGGTAGCCCAGTATTTCTGCATTCACATTCCAGGTACTGTGACTAGGGTGACACAACTGCTTGCCTCCTAAAGAGTTAGGAACTCACAATACCCCTCTGTGTGCACCGCACCCAGAGAGTGCATGTAAACCTTCCCTTCCTTCAGCATCTCTGCCTTTTCTTCACTTCCTACCTTTCCTCTTTCTCCTTTCCTAATTATCTACACAACGTAATAGTGTAAGAGCAGAGAGAGAAGAGACTAACAAAGAGCCAAGAAGGGCTGTGCGGTCTAATTTGTCTATCTGTCTGTCTGGAGAAAATTTACATGGGCAGGAAGCACTGAATTTGAAAGGGAAATGAACAGACAAGATGAAGTTAAAATTCAGAGGCAAGTTAACATTTTGTGTGCCTGTCTTTTCTTCCCCCGAGGACAGATGCTCATGTCTGCTACATGTGAGAGGGAGAGGAGGCCACCACATTTTCCCGTGGACAGATCTGTCCTCGAGACTCTGGCACTCCCAACAAAAAAATGGGGCTCTAACAGGGTGAGTGACAAGAAAAGCTGCAAGTTTAGAAGATCCAGAGTGAACAGAAAAAACTAATGAGAGCTTTCTAACTGCTTAGTTCCTCACACACCACTGCGAGCTGCAACTCTCAAGTCTTATCCATAAGAGTCAGTATTATCCCCTCAACTCATCTCAGGAAAAGACCACACAATGGACAACATGTCACTAAGCAAGAAACTCAAACTCAGCCACCCTCCTCTGGAATGTTCTCCCTCTCTTCAAGTTAACCCTGGGAAAAAACAGCAGCTCTGCCCCCACTGTTCATATAACATGCTCTCAGCAGCTGACCAGACATGGCATATAGAACCAGTTCAGCAGAATCCACTGTTTCTACACAGTGGAAGTCGTACTTGTACTACCATAAATTCTAAAGTAAGAGTATGCAAGTATGAGCAACACAAAAAGTTGACTGTAAAGGAAAGTTTCTAAAGTTTAGATCTTTTTCTGTCTCTTTAAAAAGAACGATTTTCAATGTCTAGAGTTCACCAGTTCCAAACAATAGGCACTAACCACAAGTGGCTACTGAACACTTAAAATATGGCTCACACTAAATCTGAGCTGTGCTTCTGGGGCAAAACACACTTGATAGAGTTCAAAGACTTAGTTGTATATTGAATTTGAAATGACAGTGGGAACACTGAATTAAATGAAATTTATTACTAAAATTAACCTAATCCATTTTTAGTTATTTAATATTCTTGTCTGTGTTTAGTTATTTAATGCAGCTATTAGAAAAATACCACGTTAGTGGCTTGTAGAAGCTTGGAGTGTAACAGTTCAGAGATAGACTTTGTGCTTATTATCACATGATGCCAGGTTGAATCCCCATCACCATAAACAAACACATGTGGCTTATCCATCTGCATTGCACACAGCTACTGCAGAGCAAAAGATGGAATACAGATACCTCAGAGATTAACGGGTCTACCAAAGAAACTAACCACCAATGGAAGCTGACACTGACCAAAGGCTTGCTTAAGTTCTTGCTGCCGGAAAGTGAAGTGAAACTCCAAACTTAACAAAGTCCTATAGACTCAATCACCCTGTAAAGCAAAATGGTGTGACTAGTTACTATGGAAACTTAACCTAAAAGAACTTACCTTAACAAACCAAGAGTGATACAGTCTGTCCCACAGTTCGAGAACTTGCTTCTCAATCACAGCCGTGTTATTCACCTTATCTCCTAGAATTTTGTGAAGCTAGAAAAAAAATACAGGTACAAATTAATGTTTTAAGTAATTTAGTATGATCAATACATGCTGGTCTTTGTTTTGTTTTCAAATGCCTCCATGTAAATTCCCCCATCTTCTCTCTCATCCTCCCTCCCACTTCTCTTCCTGGGTCTCAGGGTACAAGAGAACAACACAAATGCAAACACACCTAATGACCTACTTGATCTTACCGGCGTGGAAAGCCTTTCCCTGCAAGCCTAGAGCTCATCTATTATGTTTAAGTCTTGCATTACTCCTATTAAGAGTTGCCATAAGACTCTTAAGTAAAATTTAAGACCTTACATACAAGCACAAATCTCTCCCCGAGTCTGCTGAGACAGGCCAGGACTGGCAGGACAGACTTCAGGGAACCTGACACAGAGGAGGTACAACTTACACTCACTGTAGTATCTCATCCTATTTCCTTATTAGAGACATTTTTAAAGATCAGAGGAAAGAGCTCAGTAGGAGATCACTTGCCTAGCATGTGCAGGACCTTGGCTCATAGCACAGGCCAAAAAAAAAAAGGATTTAAGCGAATTTGATTTTTGTGTAAGTATATGGGCAGGCACACGAATACATATGCACAAATGAGTGTGGGAACCAATGGTGGATACCAGATGCCTCTCTCAGTCACTCTTCACTTTTCTTTTTGAGACAGGGAGTTTCAGTTAACCCTGAGCTCACAGACTGGCTGGTCAGCAGCCTGGGGATGCTACTGCCTCTCTCTCTCAACTCTGGAATTGCAACATGACCACACTGGCTTTTTCTTTCCTTTTTTCTTTGAGACAAGATCCTTTCTCATTTGTACTCCAGGCTGGCCTCCAACTCACAGAGACCTACCTGCTCCTCCCTGTACTGGGGTTAAAGGTGTGGGTCCGGCTTCATTTACATAGATGCTGGGGACCAAACTCAGGTCTTCAGGCTTGCATGGCAAACTGGCAAATACTTTACAAACTGAACTATCTCCCTAGTCTCAAAACAATTTTAAAAGACAAGCATTTGTTTGTAGTCCCATTTTCTTAAAATAACTGCTTCCATTTTCCCGTTTCTTCTATAACTTCCTATTTACAGAGATGAAATTAAAATCTGTGTTTTTTGAATTGTAAGCATTTTATCTCTAGTGTCTGTCACCATCTTACATTCAATGGTGTCATGTTCATTTATTAAATTCACTACTTAGTCACTACTCACAGGAGGATATATAAACAGTACCAATTTTTAAGGCAGTCAGCATCTTCACATATAGTTTAAAATTCACATCACCAATGTAAAATGAAGAGCAGTCAAGGTAAGTAATGGAGCACTGTGCACTAGTCAGCAACAATCTAAGGAGTTATGTAATCCTTTTTTTGAGTACTGTAGAGACACCACTTTCCCCAAGGCACTATGAATTAACTGAAAGCCTTAAAGATAATTTAGCAGGCGTTAAACGGGAACCGTTATTTGTTCTTCATTCTTTTAATGATGAAACGCTAATTCTCCAAACTGGCTTATAATATTCATTTAGGTACATCTTTGCCCCCTTGATGTTGGCCTTATAAACACCTGAAGCAGTTATCTCCCATATCTGGTGCAAATATCTATCCTCTTATAAAAGTGGTTTGCTCATAAGCTAAACACAAATTACTCATAGCAAATACAAAAGCCACCTGTCTCTGAAAAGCATTTTACAACTTTAAATGGTTTTTATCTACATTGTGTGATCTTCGTAACCACCCAAGAGTGAAGAGAAAATGGCTTTGTAGGCTGCAGGTATAACTCAATGGAGTTCATGCATTACACCCTAGGCTCAGACCAGTACCTCAAAGGAAGTTTTAAAGTGTCTATGGTCCCTGCGAAGGGTGCAGAACCAGTACTGCACTGTTTAACATAGGGAATGGAAAGCTATCCCAGGAAGCTTAGCATTAAGGAGGCTGAGACAGGAGGATTGTGAGTTCAGGCCAGGCTACTCTATACAATGAGACTGTCTCACAAAATGCCAAGTTCTCGTGACCGATTCCCAAGGAGCACCTCACAGAGGTGCTGAGCACAGACACTCACGCCCCCCTCAGTTACTTGTGTCTTTTAGCACACAGCTGCCAGATAATCACAGGCCTCCTACCACTAACTCTCCACATCAACTTCTGAGATTCCCCAACCAGAAAAGGCTTCACGCTAAGAGACATTATCCAGAGTGGTCAAGAATGCAATGATGCACTACCTTACACTGGCATCTTGCTTTGAACTCTGACTCCCAGTAGAACAATGAATGGTTCTAAAAAAAACCACCATGGTTAAAAATAATATTGCATAATTGGACAACATGTTGTAAAACCCACTACAACCCAGGGTGCTGTCAACCCAGCAGAACACCAGTCATCGACTCAGAACACCATCCTGCTGTGTTACAATATGCACTGCAAGACACAGGAAGACTGGATGGAGTCTGATGTGCTTAGCACCACTCTCAGCAGACTCCCCAAGGCCTAAGGACTGTTTAGAGTCCCCTGCCTCACTGAGCCGCCCTCTGCTGCAGCCATTCTGTCCTCACACTAGCTCTCCTCTCCCTTCAACCACATTTCCTCACTTCCACTCAGAACCTCGGAAGGATTCTGCCCAGGCCATGCTTTCTTTCCCAGACCTTCACCAACCACTTTCTCCTTAGTATTTTGGTAGAAACGCTGCTGCCTTAGAGAATTCTTTGAACATTTAACTAAAGCATCATCCTGGAAATGACTTAGCAGTTAAGAGCACTGCCTGCTCTTCCAGAGATCTTGAGTTCAATTCCCAGCAACCACATGGAGGCTTACAACCATCTGTAATGGGATCTGATGCCCTTCTCTGGCATGTAGGCATACATGCAGACAGAGCACTCATATACATAAATAATTTAAGGAAATAAACATTCTCTTTGTGGGCATAGCAGTTTTGCCTAGCTTCAACCCTTTCTAGACATTAGCTCTTGTAAACCACTTCATGATTCTAAGCTACTTAAGATTTAAAGTTCAGCCGGGTGGTGGTGGCGCATGCCTTTAATCCCAGCACTTGAGAGACAGAGGCAGGCAGATTTCTGAGTTCGAGGCTAGCCTGGTCTACAGAGTGAGTTCCAGGACAGCCCGGGGTATACAGAGAAACCCTGTCTTGAAAAACAAACAAACAAACAAAAAAAAGATTTAAAGTTCATTTAAGTCACACATGTATTATCAATGTAACTACTTTAACTACTGCATTAAGGTATAATTCATACCTTACAAGTCACCCATTTTAGTAGACAAGACAAGTTGTATATATAGTTACAGTTATTTAACCATTACAATTAATTTTCATTGCCCATTAGTACTCACTCATTCTCCACAGTTACCTGTCTCTGGAGTGCACCATTCTATTCTCTGTTTAGAGATTTGCCACTTCTGGGTATCATGTAAATGGAATCATATCATGTATTTTATGAGTGAGCCTTTATTCCTATTACTACTGTGTATGTTGAAGGAGTGCCATCCATGCACATATGTGGATGTCAGACACTAACCTTTGGAGTTGGTTTTCTTCTCCCATCATGTGGGTTCTGGGGCTCAAACCCAGGTCATCAGGCTTGGACAGCAAGTGCTTCACCTACTGAGCCACCTCAGCAGCCAATCACTGCTATTCTTTTTTAACTTGCCATTGTATTTTTAAGGTTAATACATTGTTGTGACATTTATCAATATTTCTTCAAACTTACCACCTTAAAGGTAAACACTCAAAAGCTGTTCTATGACCTCTACACATACACTCGCCCCCCATCTCTACCCTCCATCCCGTTTCACAGAAGCAAACACACATAGTCGTACAATCATATACCACTGACACACACACTTCACACTTGAAATACATTTACCACATCTGGCTCATCTATAGACCAGCTAATGAACACGTGACGGCTAATATATACTAATATATCTTCTACCGTAGAAACAAAAATATTTCATAACTCTTGATCCCAATATCATTTTTTAGATTCTTGAATAAGAGGTTACATAGTTTTTTCTGTAAGTAGTCTGAAATTTATTTTTAAATCTAAGATGCAGTGTTTACCAAAATTCCTTTTATCTTCTTACCTAAAAGGCAAGAATGTCAGAATAAAAAATTCTCCAATAGGCCGGGCGGTGGTGGCGCACGCCTTTAATCTCAGCACTTGGGAGGCAGAGGCAGGCAGATTTCTGAGTTCGAGGCCAGCCTGGTCTACAGAGTGAGTTCCAGGACAGCCAGGGATACACAGAGAAACCCTGTCTCGAAAAACCAA